GCCGATACCGCACCGTGACGTCACTAACCAGTAGGTGGCAGTAGTGTTCTTTGACAAACATGGATGCCTCCAGTAAAGAACATTCACATTAAAATTACTCTGAATTAAAAGCACAATTTCATATTTAAAGTACTTTCAAAAGTTTGAATTCTGAATATGACCAGACTCTCCTTAAACAGTAAAAAATGTTTCCAATGTGATGTACATAAAAACAATCAAAAAAACCAACCCACACAAGAAAAAGTAGTAAGAGTTTAAAATGAATAAATGATTAAAAAGGACAGAGCACCACACAATGATGCAGAGTTAAAAGCGGGGCTTAAGACAAGACCTAAAACTATCTACTGCAGAGGCTGTTCTTATATGGAGGGGCAAAGTATCCCAAAGTCTGGGGCCAACTACAGAAAAGGCTCTGTCCCCTCTGGTTTTAAGCCTCGTCTTAGGCACTGTTAGCTGAAGATGGCCCTGAGAACACATACCGGAGAGTAAATCTTGAGAAAAAGAGAATTAAACAGTTGACGTCCCACTTCCAAAATGGCTGAGCACAGTATTGTTTATTTAAGAATTTATGATTATCGAAGAATGGTAGGTGTGTTTATGGCAGCTACACAGAAATATACAGTGGAATAAAACGGTCGGTTTACCTGATGCACACAGCAAGACGTGGCCATGGGGAAACCAGCCGCCCTGTGAAGCCCATACGGACATTTTTGTTTTCTAAATAACAGATATAATAAAAAATAATGAATGTATTATCTACTATGAGTATTTGCTTTAAACATTTTAAGCTGTTTGTCATGGAAACATAAACTAAACTCCTTGTTCGTACCAAAAGCTTGGCCAATAAACTCGCCCCTTTATGCTGTTTTCAATCACTGAATAAACAGTTACATCACTGCATTAAACTACACTGTTCAACCTGAACCTTCTGCTCCATTTGATGTCAGTACAGGCAAACTTGTTCATGGCGAACGATTTTATATCCTCCCATTTAAAACGAGGCTGACACTCACAGTCTGCGGCAAGTTACAAAGATTGAAGGTCAACCTAGCGCCAACGCTGCGCGCATTTTCTGCTGTCGGGGGGCAAGGGCATATTATTGCATCACTCTTGGTGCACGCACCATTGCGCCCTGTTCAATGCAGCAAGTATAAACCAAGCTTCATGATAACAGTAGTTATTATTACGTATAATCATTATTATCATTATTAAGCCCTCTGATACTGCAGTGGTCATACATTGTGCAGCTCTTATTGAGTAGTTACCATTGATGCACATAGAGAGGTGCTAATGCTGCTACTCAAACAAAAATACTTTGATTATCTTAAAAAATATATATGTATTTTTCGCAAAACCATAAGATATTTGAAATAAACCTTTGTGTTTTTACTATGGAGTAGGTTTTATATAAAGCTTGTAGACTTGCGTCTATTATATATAACTATAACTATTTTTACAGTCAGCTATTTTCCTCTGATCTCTATCATCACTTTGTCATTAAAAATAACGCTTCAGTCACTTATAATAAATATATTAACTCACTTGTTTTAGTCTTAACATCTATTAATCTCCCTGTGTTGCGTCTTGTTGCCACGATCCTATATTTTAACAGCTTTAGAAATGAGTCTGTAGATTATAAAATCGAAATTCAACTGATTTGATGTATTTTAACAATATTATTTCTAGCAAAATATGTGTATTTTTCCTTCTAAAACATGATCACAACAATTAATGTCAGTAACGAATGAAACACTGAAATAAGCTGAGCATTAACCGTTAAAAATCATCTGACTAAACTATAACCTCATTGGTTAAAGGCAGCTGGTGTTAGCGCTGCAACAAAGTGGACAACACTGCTATAAAAACATCAGAGTCATCTGTATCTTGGTGAACAAAGTGAATATTTCATGTTTTTTTTTTGTCTTAAAAGATTAAAAAATTTATTTTGTATCAAAGAAAGGATTTTATTGATTTTTTTTGCTATCCTTTTAACCATTACTGAAGCAGCAGTGAATCATGGGATAGGTTGAGCAGGCAGCTAAGGCTTTACTGCCCTCTACAGCCGCCTCAGTGAACTGCATGTGATTCATACCGTCTATCATTGAGAATTACATGTTGAGAGCCTTGGTGCATGCTGCTTCATCATTTTATTTATTATCCATCACATCAACAAATTGTTGCATACCTAAAAGCTCACATTTCAAATATTGTTACAGATAATAAAGAAGCTTTGCAGGTCCATTAAACGAAGGATCTGTTGATGTAAAAAAAGAAAAACAACATTTACTTGTATTGTTGCTTAACAAAATGGGAAGACTTCCAGTTTTGTTCTGCAATTCATTTCATTTCCTAACAGCCTGAGCCTGAATTTATCTTTGATGGTTAAAGAATGTAGGTTTTAACACATCTGGGGACAATTGATAGCCCATAATATCCAGTATGACCTGTGAGATTCTGTCTCTTCACCAGTGGCAGCTGGTCAATAGAGGGCGCTAGGGTGCCGACCCACACCCAATGACCCTGATTAAGACATACAAAAAAAGTTATTTTTTTAAGAATTTAAATTAAAATGTAAAGTATTTCAAAATATGTCTTTACATATGTTTTAGATGTTTAAGATAAATATTTAATCTTTAGTAACTAGTGAAGAGTCATTCCATTTTTCCTCGTATTGGTGACATATTTCTGCCCTAGGGAGCAAAAAAAAAAATCTTTGCCCATTGACTCTTGTTAAAAGTTGTCCATGCGCAGCAACTCCTCTGCAATGCAGAAGTATAGGAGATACTGCTGCAGGTTATTCGCACGGGGCGCGGGAGATCATGGACTCTCTTTATTGGTCCAATGTTTCAATTACAATAAACACAAGTAAATTACTTACATATACTCATAAACAACAACTCAAAAGAAAAAAACAAAAGACATAAATCCACCCCCTCAAAAACTGAGAATAAGCATTTCATTATTTAGATGACATAAAACATCTCCACCTCCCCAAATAGAAATAAACTCACTAGATCTGACACAGTTCTATAATAAGCAAACTCTGTCCTAATACGTGCCGCCACCAGGCCTCTGAACATCAGTTCAACATCTACTGAACCTGCATCCTTTATTTCATATCTCCTGGTGACGTTCATCTTTCCCTGACCGAGCAGGAGAGCTGTTGCTCCAAGGTGACAGGAAGTGTATTTGCTCACCACCTCCCGCCACAGTGCAGACGTTCTGCGGGTGATTGACAGGTCGAGTCGCGCAGGGGTTGGAGATGTATTGGGGAGAGAGAGAGAGAAATGGCGCTAGAAACGTCCTTTTCCAGGACCTTGTTTAGCAAGAAGTCTTGGCTAGCAGCATGTAGCTTTATTCTGCTTTCCTGCCTCCTTTTTCAAACGTCTGACTCAGCGTGGATAAAGACAGCGAGGACTGATTTAAAGCACTTTTTAGAAAAAACAGAGAAGAATGAACAATCTGGGATTCACGTGGAAAATAATAGAATATAGTCTACTTTTTCTAGATGTTTTTTTGCATAGTTGCTCATAAATAAACACATTCTCAGGAAATAGTTGATATAATAAAATATAAAGGTGACTAATAGCTTCTCCATTATCAAACTGGTACATTTTATTTTAGGTTTGTGACACAATATTGGACCATGAAAAACACAGATTTACCTTCACTAAGCCTCAGAAGGGCAAGATTAATGAACAAAAAGAAAACCTGTTCATGAAATTATGTTAAATATACTGGTGTGATAACTTAGTATAGGTTTGGTTTTTGGTAAACATCTATTTTGAATTTATAGCCCCTCCTGGAGAAAACTCCCCCAGCTGCCGCTGCTCTTCACTTATCTGTAATGTCGTTCCCTTTACTGTACAGCAGCAGGATGTGTTGGTCCTGTAATAATAAACCCATTGACTGTAAAACTGAAGTCGGTTACGCCACTTTATGAGAACCAGAAGTGATGAAGCAACATGACGCAGGTTAGAAGTTCATCACTTCCTACATCATTTATTACCAAAGGCTGAGTCAGATGAGTCTCACTTACAGGGCTCGATGTTAACCATCGCCCGATCGCCCGGGGGAAGTAGTTTTTATTGTCGGGAGAGTACAAATTTCATTGCATTTGCCCGCCGGGCAAGTGCAATGATCGCAAAAAAAAAAAAAATTTATCACTCAAAATTACTTTAAA